TTACCAATATTTTTGCTTAAAGCGAGGTACGACAATAGGAGGGGGCGGTAGATCACTGGCAGTTTTGACATCAAAAAGTCGATCAAAACCTGTTTGAAGTTGGAAGTGCCTGGTCTACAGTTACTTACCAGGTCTCTCCAGATGTGCCATTTGTGCAGCTTTAGCTTCCAGCATTCTCATACCATCCTTAGCTCCTGGTGCAAGATCTGCGACAGTTCCTGATACATTGCTGGCTGCAGAGAGCATTTGCGCAGACATCATGTTCACCTGTTCAGGAAACATAAATGTTTAGTCAAGATATGATGCTTCAACTTTCTGAAAATACAGTTCAATTACTGTAATAAAACTGCTTTTGTTTCTTTGGGTTAACTGAAGTAACTGACTGTGGTGTCTTCTAGTACATGACACAAAGTCTGGACTGTTAGCACATGTCTCTAAAAATGGTGTCTGCTTTTCTCAGGTAATAATTAATTTGCTTGGTGGAGGGTGGAGTCCAACTGGGTCCACTCGGCACAGTGGCCACTGACTGGCCTATTGTAGCCTGGCCCGGGTGATTATAATGATGGAGAATTTGGGGAGGGGAGGGGAAACCAAAGTACTCAGAGAAAACCCGATCCACAAATCCTACCTGACCAGATACAGGATCAAACCCGGGTTGCCACAGTGGGAAGCCAGCGACTAACCGCTTGAGCTATGGTGCAGCCTTTCTCAGGTAAAGTATGTCACAAATTTTATTTCAGTCCTAAATTTCAAAAGTCTGCACGTAGCTGAGGAAATCCCAGAAATATATAGTGAGCTTTGGTCTGATGTTTCTCCTGATACTTCATGCACAACCATTCCTCTCATTATCTTCTCCCTACCAGGTAAAGTTACACAGGCAACTGTGCTAAGTCTCATTCTGATGCCCTGCTCTCCCAACAGAGAAAAAGGCAGCACAAATACTATTGTGACGTGTTTTGCCACTAAAGACGCCGTTCAGATTGTTAATTGGTTTCTTTAACAACCTACAAGTCGCAGTACAATTAAGTATAACACTGTTGCGGGTTTACACAATTTACAAATCCTACACGATAATCTCTTCAGTAGTCTTCACGTATTTATGATGCAGGAGCTATACAAATCTCTCTTAATTACACACTCCCAATATAAGTGTACTAGCACACAATCTTGAAGTCACACAATAAGTCTTCACTTGCTGACTTCTCAGTTATCGTGCACTACAAAATCTTCTAACCACGCGTCCGGTTCTTCTTTCCGCGACTGCTGCTATATTCCAACTGTCTTCGGCGGCTGCTACATTTTAACTTAACTTCTTAGGCAGTGCAGTTCTCTTATAAACCCTCAGCCAGACAACGGGAAACGCCTCGCTTCCTTGTTGCCTAGTCGCTGTGTTTACAGGTGTTGCTGCCTGTTACGTCACAGTGGGAAGTGCTACCACGTCACCGTGTGGGAGGAGGTGGAGTTTTGACTGGCCTGTTACAGTAGCAGCGACAGTGCTCCATGTTGTTACGTCACCGCTGGCGGGGGAGGGGATGTCCTCCATAGCGCAATACGTCACAATATTATAATGTGAATATATATGGGAGAAACTGGTTAGCCAGCACCAGATAGCTGTTTTATTATGATCAGAGACACCTTTCTTTTCCCTTCCTACAGTCTTTTTTCTAACTAATTTATTGCCATAAATAAAAATGTGAATTAGAATACCATTAATGCACATACCTGAGTGTTATATGTAGCTTGCACACTTCGTTTAATCCTCAACATCTCTCTCATTGTGTCTTCATTCCCATGACGCACTTCGAATTCCTTCCATGTCTGCCAGAACTCTGCTGTCACCTATTGATATTAATACAAGAACAATGCAATTATGAATAGTTATTCTGAAATCAACAATCTAAATTTGTAAACAGAAATAAAATTTCACCTCAGAACACATTTTAGATTTCATCTAGCAAATTCAACTGAAAAACAAAGCTCAGGAACTCAGCCTTCATCTTCGCCTTTAAATCATCACAAGTGAACTGATGAAAATGAACAAAAAGTAATGTACCCTTGGATCACACATCTGACTACAGTGGGTGTAGATGGCTCGGGCTCTGTCAATTTCACCAAGTTTGGTCTCCATCTCTGCAAACCTCAAACACATTTCCCGTGCATTTTCCTCTGTAAGAACTTCAATCGCCTTCTCATATATCTGCCGTGTCTTAGGGACTCCGTAAATTTCTGCAGCTTTTTTAATGTAAATATTAAACAGCTGAAACAAAACAGCAAACTTTAATAACTGCAGTCAGTTCAGGTTTTCAAATTCTTCCAAGCATTCATTTTTATACAGTACACTGATTTGTCTTTATTATTATAAAAGACTCTTAAATAGGAACTATACAATAACTGATGGCATTATTATATTAAGAAAAAAAAATTCATTAAAATATGCAAATATGAAATACACGAAAAACATCTTTAAGTAGAACTGTATTTAAAATTACTATATGCCCATATTAACATGCTGCCACATAGTATGTGTGTAACCAGAGAGGGGGTTTGGATTGGTGAATAGATTACTGATCACTTACAGGTCATAACTACAAATAACTATAACACTATCGCTATTTCTACATCGTACAGTTCACCGTAGCACACAGTCTAGTGTTCTCAGTCTGTTACTAGATGTTTCCTGGTAATGGCTCCAACAGTGGCTATTTCTCTGTCTGCGGCTCAAGTCCTCTCTTCACAGTCTCCCATACAGATCAGACTGGGTCCACCCTTGTCCCTTGTTTATAACATCTCAGCATGGACCACATAAAAAACACAGTTCCTCTACTCTGTGGGACCCTGTTTACCTAGCCACTGCCAAGAAACGGCCCTGGTATATCTGCCAATTTTGCAGTCGTTGCGTAGCAACGGTTCTACATGCTACAATATGGATCATGAAGAAATACACTGGAAGATAAATTAATAAGGTTAAGCTATCCCTGTAGCAGGCCTTGGAGGCCTGTAGGGTTTGAGACATCGGAGCTCCCACACTTTCTAAACCAATGGTCTTCAACCAGGGGTAGGTGAAGGCATTTTACAGGGTACATAAAATTAAAATTTGTCCCTGAATTGAGGTGCTGGCATGCCAGAAACAAATTCAAGCATCTCATTAACAGGCAAGAACCACATTAATAATTGAAAAAATATTTAATCATATAATTTTGCTTTGCTAAAATACCTTTGTTCCTTTATTAATTTTTATATAATAGGCAATAATATAATTGTTACTGAATAGCTTGATTCTCCTTTTTCTCATTTGAAACTTATTATTTAATACATTATTTTGGATGTAACTTATTTATTTTAGATGTAGATTATAGATTGTGTATAACTTGAATTATACACCAGCAACTTTGGGGGTACAGAGTTGAAGAGAAATTATATCTGTGGGGGTGAACAAGAAAGGTTGAAAACCACTGTTCTAGACAAGCAACTCATAGATGGCAGTGATGCTGTTAGCCTTTAAACGCCAGCCGCCCTTTACCTCACAGGAAGACTCCAGGTAATCATTTCTGTTAAAGAGGCTGACTCAA